GCTTGTATTATCGCACTGAATCGATTTTCAGCAAGGGCGCGCCATCCATGCATGAGTTTTCCCACTCGAGTGCGAAAGCCTTGTACCACGGCAAGCGAATAGGCACCTCTTTTTTTTATAAACTCGCCATTTGGGCCATCTTTACGCAGAAGAAATGAAAAGCGTAAAACTGCATCAGAGAATGTGTCTTTGAATAAAGTCAAAGTATTCTTTATGATATACTTTTGATGGAACTGTACATTTTTGTCCTATTTAAAGGTTTAGTGATATGACACAGATTCAAATCGCAACATTCCATCATGTATATATGGAGTAGCTATGAAGTTCCTATACAATGTTTCGGAGACTGTCTCTGCTGCCATCATCAGGACTTAAGTAATGACTGACAAGACTTCCCGTTGTATTTGTAATCGTGACTGGCTGTAGGAGTAGGACCGCTGGACTAAGATTTCATTGCATTCGTACGTTTCTTGTCCTCACATTCACGTTTAAAACTTGTAGTTGTTTATGTTTAAATTTCTTGGAAATAATCTTAAAATATTTCTGTTCCCTTCGAAGAACATTTCGGTGTCCATGAGTGACAAACGAACAAGGGCTGTCGGCCTACAGAATGTGACATTGATAAACGCAACAGAAGCACGTGGACGGCCCCACTTCACCGATACCGACAGAGGGAACGTGGAATCGCCCATCCACAATCTCGAAGGCCTGTAGTGTTGGTTCAGATTCCAGTACGGAAAGAAAAGATGTCTTCCTTCTCTTAAACGGCAATCCGTTCAAGTTGACATCCACCATCTCTCTTTATTTGCAGCCCGGCCGCCAGGAATCGGGGCAGAAACAATTTGACATCTGCTCTAATGGTTAGTGCAAAAAGGGTTCAAGGACTCAGACCCCCCCCAGTAGCTAGTCCAATTAATGTAAAAAAAAGTCTTTATGTAACAATCAATAATATCAAGGTGGGAGAGAGTACACCCAGCTACACAATTTACTCCACAGAACACTGACTTTCTTGGAAGCTGGTTGTCGTCCAGCTGGTCAGGAAGCTCCTACTTTCACAAAACCTGAAGGTTCATTGTAACGTTCAGAACAGTCCACCATCACTTAAATCTTACCCATATGTTCATACCATGTTTATTTAATAACTATTTTAACATAATCCTTCAGTTTAGGCTTTGTGACACTGAAATAGTCCTTTCCTTGAAATCTTACTAATAAAATTTTGAATGTAAATTATGTTTGTTACCTGTTCCGGCTATTCTATGAGTTCTGCTTCATATTTCATGTTAACCTACTTCGTAATTTAACAAAAATTAGTAATTTTGTCTAAATTGTAATTACATCATATTTTGGTACATTTCTGAAAATAGTCAGCTTAGCCTAATTTATGGAACCTTCCCAGTTCTTCTCTCCTTCCCTAGAAACGTATTTTCAGACATCATATCTCTTTACCCCATGGCAGGCAATTTCCAGACTATCATACGTAAAAGGACAAATTCCAAAATAATTACGGCGTAACAGAAAATGTTATGTGCTTGTCACTTCTGCCCCACCGTCATTTCAATTTTTTTTTCAAAATTATTACTTGTGTAGTCTACTTACCAACAGGTGTTACTGGTCCATCGGATGTAGAACACTGACGACCCAAAGCAGGGCATTTGCCCCGGAGCACAAACACACGGCAAACAATTCACAATTTTCCTGTAAGCACTTGCACCTCCCTACAGTCACATTTTCCGCTATTAGTTTTCTACAATTTTAATTAGCAATGCCGTAGCAGAACACAAAGCTGAAACACCACAGCAAACCAACAGACACGATTCTGTGCCAATTCTATCCACGGCCGATCCTCACACCACCCTCCCGAAAAACCATATTAACAATATTTTACCATCACCTACTTGGTCTTACAGGTGTACGTTTTCCCAGATATTTTCCCTTAAAATTTCGTATTCATTTATTTCCTCTCTCACCATAGCTTCACAATTCCATGAGCACATTAGCATTTTTATTTCATTATCCTAATAATATTAAACGACCTGAAAAACTCTAAATCCTAATTATAAATTAAACATACGCAAGATATTGAATAGCCTATGCATTTTAAATGTATGTGAAACAACTCAGTATTACACCTGGAGAAACAGAATACCACGAGCTTATTCGTCTTCTGGGTCGTAACGTCTTATAGACTTGGATAAGTCCACATGGCGTTAAATATTCAGAATTTCATCATCGACATCTTTACCGGAGTCGGAACCTCCAATCTCTCTCTCAGTACATTAATTTCTCTACGTTTCGAGAAGATGCCACTGCTCTTACAGGTTGGTAAATTGTAATGTTCACATACGTTCTTCATATTTATGGCAACATGAAATTCATTATAAATAAATAACGTGAAACGAGCTCCTGCCAAGCTGTCAGCCATCCTCCGAGAAAGCCCTGCCTCTTTGGGTCTACGTAGAAATGAAGGTCAAATGCCGAAGTACTGATATCACTCAGGACGGCAGACAAGTTTCCTGAAGTAACCAAAAGCAATTGTGGGTTAATTTAGCTTCAGTTCGCCGTTCATTTGTGTGCTCTTTAATAACGCAATGATACAACAATCTTTATGGACACCTGGTTCAAGATTTAAGTTTGCTACCCATAAAAATTCAGCTGAGTAGATACTCTAGTGTAAATATTTTCACAAACGGAAAATTCGTCTATGTCTGTGGCTTGATTGTAAAACGGCGAATATAAGATTTGCTGACAGTCTGTGATAAATGTCAAGGATACACTAATAGAGACAGAATTCTCTGAGAATCCAGTGAATAAGGCTACTAAATTTTGTTTTAGTTCTAAAACGACAAGTGTTGACACTAGCCTTCAGTAATAAACTATCTTACAATGTAAGAAGGGCCAATGCGGACTTCGATCTTTTCGTGTGGATTATCTAACTCTGACCCTGGCCTGCTGGTAGGCCTTTAAATATAAATCAAGGCTATATTTTAAAATTAACCGTATTCTAAAAGTATTTTAGCTGTTACTGTTTTGAATTTTAAACTACGCTGTGAAACTGTCGTCCAACAAGAGTTTTAAAATATGTACCAGAATAAATAAAACAGAACAAATATGAAAAAGGAAAAAAAATAGCATTGAAAATAAGCAGAAACATTTGTTGTAAAGAAACTCCACCAGCACATGTTACGTTATGAAACAGCTGTTCATCGCTTCGTTTTAAATGTCCTCAGAGACAAATGTCAGTTCCAATGAAAAGAGGAAAAGTGCGAGTGTAAGTCCTGCATCTTTAGTCGATAAAACGTTACTTCAAATGATGCCCTGCCCTTGTTAGACTTCGACAGAGAAGTTTTTGACAACTCAGATTATTTCCCTGGCGATTCAGAAGAAAGCAGCAATGCATCCAGTATACTAAAAAGAAATAACAAAACGTTCCAACGAAGAAAAACGAAACGTGAGCAAAGAAGCTGTTACCAGTAACGCTGATGCTGCAAACCATCTGCACCCAAGAAGCGCAGGGAATGAAGGAAAAGAAGTCAAGTCATTCATGCCTCCTTATAGAGGAACGAAGGCCTAAGCAAATACGAAAGAAAGAAAATGAAGCAATTAAAAACTGAAGCAAAATAGTAAAAAATACAGCTGGATGTTAAGTCATTCCTACAAATGTCAATGCAGGTATATGAGGAAACATCGATTACAATGACAGAAATTGAATTTTATTAGCTATTACACGCTACGTGCAGAAGTACAAAATCACAAGCTAGCAAAATTCGACTAAGAAGAATGTGAAGAAAACGCAAAGACTAAGAAACAATACTGATGATTGATAGAGAGAGGCAAGAAAATTCTCTACGAGATGCTATCTAGCGAAATCTTCAAACTTGTGATTGGAGTTTTGTTAGAAAATATTTATGAATATAGAATGCGTAGTACTTAAGAAAGTGACTATTAATGTGGAGAAAATACATTCCCAAGATGGTAGAGAAAAACGTAAGAACTATCTACAAGTTCCCAGGTTCCAGAAAGGGAGCACGAATCTAACCGGATGCCCCAAAAGTCACGAGACACAAAGTTGAATACCATATTTATTACAGGCCTACATACTAGTTTACAGGACTGGAAATGTGTACTCTTTGGAGTACCCTAAAATTCCAAGTGTGTTCTTCATGCCACATCACAGGCGATGACGTCAGATATTAACTGAATGAGGACCCAACACAGACCAAAGTCAAATGACGATGATAATGGCTTGGAAAAAAGAAACCAGTGCATACATATCTCTGAAAAATCTTAGTATAATGGCATTTTGGTTTAATTTTTCACCCGTCACTGATATACACAACACTTTAAAACATCTACCACAAAGTAATATTTTCTGACTGCGTGAGTATGTTTTGATTTTTCATGTTCATTCACTACAGAACATAAAATACATTTGTTTGTGTTAATTTTATCACGTTTTACATCTTAAAAAATAAAGAACCGAGTCACAAGCAAAGGTGTTGGACTTTTCACCAGTAAAAATACAACCTATTCACAATCACACGTTTTCTTTAGAATGAGTCTCATTTTATAAAAATGGTCAATGTAAAGTTGCCTGAAAGGAGATGATCCAGAGTTCAGAATCTGTACGAACATTAGCAAGCATGTAATAACAAGATGTGAAAATTGCCATATTCATTGTCATAACAGTGGAAAAAAAATATAATATGAAACATCGAATATCCATTTGTAAATACTGCCGGCCGTTTCAGCTCAGAGCCACAGATATTTCAATCTCCACAGGAAGCGTAATTGTTAAACCAACATGTACCCAGTTTAATAATTTCCAATTTAGCGGCCTTTTCGTAAATACGAAACTGAAAATTGTAGTAACTTACTGAATTAATATGACGATTCATCAAGGCCATGTCCACGAACGCACTGACCAGATACATAACCTATGTTGGCTAACCTGCGCCACGCACACTAGCACTGTAGAACTGCAGTCTTGGTTTGGAGAGTAGGGGGGAGGAATGACAAGGGCAATTGTTTCACAATGTTTATATTTATCTATGAATCTGTGTGTTGTTTCCCAGTCAGAAAGACATTAACATGGACTACTTTAAAGCACGAACCATGCCACTGATTAAACTGAATTCGCTGTTAAAATCCCCAACACAAGCCTTTCCACCTTACCTATGAAGCCCACACCCCTCCCTTTGCCGCTGTCATGTTGGAGTTACTTGAAGTCAAGGACAGAGTCTATACCTGCAATTAAAAGCTTTCCATAAAAGGAAATTCGCAAGTTAAAACAATAGATTCACATTCACAACGATACATAAACGTCAAACAATTAATGTTCGATTACAATTGGCAGTACCACGCGCAAAGAAACGCACAATATTTGTTTCTGAAACACAAAACCCGCAACACGAGGCAAGTCTAAAAGCAACTGACTCACCTTCACCGAAGTTTCAACTCCCTCTACATCACTCGAATATCGAAAGCAAAGTTTCAGGATTGCCAACATTCTACATACAACTACGTAATGCGTAACCCATTATTATCACAGTTTAAACCTGAATATTTTTATTGTGGAAAAAATGGCTGAAATATTACTAAAAATTATAATACAAGGAACTTCTATGTTTAATCTGATTCCGCAGACTTTTTTCGACGTCACTGGTGATTTCGTTAGCCTACATCGCAAGGAAAATCAAACGTCACTTACGCTACAGCGAAAGCTAAGAATGTCTGTCTACTTATCCTCAGTCTTTCGAGAGAAGATCTCGTGCTGCCATCTATCAGTGTCCACACGAATTACACTTTAGGCCATATAAGTCTAATAACTCGAGAGCATTGAAAGGATTTTTATGAAACTTTCCTTATGAAGTCATCTCTGGTGACGTCTGCCTGTACGCACGTAAAATATCGATAATCACTGGAAAAATATTCACGAAATTTTGTAGGGACTTCCGTTATTCAATACTTTTTTTAAGGCCATATAAATAAAAAAATAACGAACGAAGAAGTGAGGTGGGACGATGTAATCGCCCTTGCATGCATGGGACATCATGATGGCAGTGACGTTGCCGGCACTGAAAGTGTAATAAACTTTGATAATCACATCTCGAGCGTTGGCAAAAATCATGTTCTTCGAAATATTTCACATTTGTTTCAACCAGAATTTTGTAGTTTGAAACAAATCTTTAAATAATTATGAAATCAAAGCAAAACGCAGAAAGGACGCGGCTATTGGAGAAAAATTCGTAGTCTAATATAAACAAACTATGTTGGCCAATTTAACTTTTCTAAGAACCAGAAGCGATGCTACTGAAATTAAGGTATAAATAATAGGGCAAAATTAAAGTAATGAAACATTTGATTCTTTAAAGACAAGGAGCTTGTGTATTAGATGAGCGACAAACTTTTTCGAGAGTTGTGTTTGAATAAACACATCCAAAAAAATCTTTCTTCGTCTCTTTTGAAAACAAAGAAAGAATACTTGAACAACGCACTGACTGATTCGAAATAAGGGGTGTGTCTGATTTACCTGGCTTCACTTTAGGTGCGTGTTCTGTGCACAACAAAATATGTGCAAACATGGCTTTTCGCTCTATAATCTGCAAAAATACCTAAATTAAACGCCCTGGATTTTTATTTATGTGGCTGTTTAAAAGAGTTGAATACGTTACTGCAGTTAATGACGGAGCAGAACTACAATTTGATTCGCAACACACTTGAAATGTCTGAGCACGCGTAACAACCCTTAATGAGAAGCAGGGCGCTTTTTAGATGCACAAAGACAACACATTGAGCATTTCTTGTAATCTTTTGTTGTCAGAACAGTATTTTGTAAAGTCTGGAATCAGCGACTTGGAAAACACTTTCCTGTTGACAGATTCAAACTTTCTCCTCGTTTCAAAATAAATGGGCCACTTCTGCCTTTGCTCAGAGAACACGGACATAAATCGGTGAAATGTATTTACGAAAAACTATAAATTAATGGGGCTGAAAGAGTCTAATACAACGTACAAAAATTATTCACGACTATTAATACAACAGAAGCAATTGCAATACAAATATAAATTAATCTAGATAGCTTCACCTCCTCCAAATCAGTGTACTTCAGACTTCTGGCAATGCGGAGAACACATATTCACAATTCGATACGTACAGCCAAGGCATTATAAAAATTAATTGAATTTCATACAGACTATACAGTATATGTAGGCTATATATAAAGAGAAAGTGACATATAGAATAATTTTATACTTATCAAACTCTAATTGTTCCTTATTTATATTTAATTCTTCCTTTTTTAGAGTGAGTGCAATTTATTTATTTCAGAGTTTTGCATCAACAATAAAATTTATACAACTTTCAAACCCCAACGAAATAATTTTATCTCACAGAAATTAATTAAACACTTAAGTAACCAAGTTACTTGCCATTATTGTAAATACACCTACCTGCATGCTTTTTGCAAGCTGTCCAATACGAAGCGACGTCTTTCTTAAGGCGAAGAACAACGGAGCTTCAATATACAAGTTCTTTGTGAAACTGTAAGCAGAATCATTATGGACAATCTACGTTCAAAAGACAGGAGGATCCGAAAGAGAGGCTCAAAAGTAGAGCTCTTTCGCTAAGTTCACGTACTCCCCTCTGACCCTCATCCAGAATGCTGAGAAAGTCTTGACGATGAACAGAGTGAATGGCCATATCTGTCATCATTTCTGGAAGTTTATCTTCTTCCGTTTCTTTAAGGCATTGTTGAAGACAAGTGAATAGGCCTTTCATCCACAGATAGCCTACTTTTGGATCTTGACAAGGTGGAAATAAATGGTTCAAAACACTGCTGTAACTTACATGTTCTTCCACAACTATTTTCTTTGATCAAAGCAAACACTTTATTTATTTAAGATCATAGAACATAAATTATCCAACTGTCGCTGCCAACCCACTGTATTAGTTCTTCTCGTATCCATTGGTCTTGTCAGTTGCACTGAAAACTGAGCTTGTTGAGTCATGGAAAACTTAAGGTTCTGACGGCAGTGAATATGAAGACTACCTTCTTCTTGGATGTTGCGCTGTGTAGTCTGATAGACGATTACAGAAATTTCAGTGGCGCTCGTCTTCATGAACAACACGACTGGAAGCGTATCAATGACAATTTGTTTCGCTGTTATGTACCATTGTGCAAGTAAATATTAAAAAAGAACTCCCAATCCACAGTTTTCGAAGCTCTCTATCCTAACATTCATTGTAATGTAGATGACAAAAGTGAAGGAACTCACACCCAAGGATTTAAGAATATTAAGAAATATCTAGCGGTTTCACTCTTCGGAGTACAAACGCGGGCTCTGAACATAAAGAAGACAAGCTTGAACTGTTCTAGATTAGAGAGAAAAAGATTCTATTCACTCTGAATTTTAATTGCTACAAGTTTACATCACTTTTGATCACACACATAAATATAAAATTACGCTCACACTCACAATTACCTCCCAAATTCAATAAAATTTAATTTCCGTATGCATGACACGCTGGAAAATGCTGTAGCTTTCTGCTGACATATCAAATTCAGAGTCATCAAGGCGGAATATAATACCAAGCAATTTACACATTCACGTCCTAAGAACGTTAAAATAACCATTACATTCATCTACAATCAGATATTTATGATAATATTTTTTGTATACTGGACTTACATTAGACTAAAAATACTTGACCTCATCCTTCAGCCATATGTCTTTTTAAATTACAAATAACCTTTTTCATTTTGCACATATTCATAAAATATTATTTTCAGCAAACTTAATAATACGATTCAACGTTAAAACAAAAGAAGATTTTTACATACACTTTCACACAATTAATATAATCTCCTTTGGAACAGCAAGCTTTAGTGTTAAATAAGTTGTTAAAGATTTGTTAGTTTAAGAATATACAAAATGTTGCCTCACACACATATTTTAACACTGAGCTGGTAGTTAAGTCTTGTTCCATTCATAAACCGTCTGACAATAGTACTGTAGTCTAAAGTAACACAACTGTCCATCTCGTGAAAAACTTCTGAAAACGAATCAGTCTCTTTTATAGCAATATTTTTAAATTTTACCGTTTGCCTGTTCCCATCTTTTGATAACTTAAAAACATACGTGAATTTAGAAGCGTTTTCCATTGGCCCAATGTATTTCAGAGCTCCTAAGAACTTACTGTTCTCAAAGGAATACTCACAGTGCCAAACAAAAATCTCGCCAACAGATGACACCAGCGTAGTTTCTAAGAAGCTCTCCGAGAAGTCGCTGGCTGTGGTACGACTGGAGTCCTCATGCCACACGCTCGTTCCGTGTGCGGTTTCTGCATGTCTTAGAATGTTACTGAGCATGCCCTTCCAGAGGCACAATCTGTTGATGGGACAGTCGAAGATGCGAAAATTGCAGTTCACCTCATGACGGACCATATCCATCAATAAGAGTGCCTCGGCGCAACCGGAGTTCTTGCATGGGTAAAGGATCTTCTGGCACATTTTCTCGGCTAGCAGATTGCGTACTTCTGTCTTCTTCAGTCGACAAACTGGGCAGGGATCAAAGCCCAGTTGCAGGTAGCATTTGTTACAGATGTTGTGGCCCGACATGCACTGCACAATGGGGGGTTTCATGATTTCGCGACAAACGCGACATTCCAGCATCTTGATCAGCTCTTCTGCCAAGTCGGATGTGCAGAACGCTCCTGCCATTGTCTTTTGACCTGCGAGAAAATGAAACAGAATTGGTAGTCTCAGTTAATTCAGCAAACGATAACCGCACAGAGTTTCGTTTAAAATAAAATTTACAGTTTTTAATAAATGCTTGAATTTCTCTACAAACAGATGCGTCTACAACTGTAACACAATGAACAAAGTCTTAATCAATACTGCACTGATATTAAATACAAATTTTGTTATGGAAATTAACATTTACAGCTCTGAAAATAGTAGCCTTCCTGAGAGTATTTATTATAATACATGTCATTACATTTATTTCGGCACCCCGCTCCTTCAGTTTTCTGCAGTGTGTCTGAAATAACAGTCACTGAGAAAACAAACATCGAGAAAATTCACACGTTAATAAATCACCACGTCCTTTAATCTACTCTTTGAGTGGATACGAGAACCATATGCACTACCCGATTTAGCATTCAATATGTCGACATTTCGCCCAAAAATTTATCTGTTCAGTGTTTCCGGATGTACAGCGAATATTTTCCTAATATTTAAAAATAGAATCTGTTAAATGCTACATATAACAATCATTAAATATCATGCGATGTTAAATGGGTTTTGTGCCATAGATTAAATAGTCTACGATCGAATACTTATCAGAAATGAAGGATGATGTTTAATTCTTTTGCATGCAAGTTCTTCGCAGGATTGTTTATCATATTACGGAGAACATTATTTCGTATTTCCAATAAACCACGACTTGACAGAATTCGGGATCCTTCAGTCTGATATTCAAAAAGCACTGGTTTTGTCCTCAAGGTAAATCAACCATGCGGTGCCAAGTTTAAGAATAAGTTTAACAGGTATTCATGACGTGGTCCTTAATTACGCACAAAGATACGGTGACCTCCTTTCCTCTAATAAGGTAAGTGGTGGAGGTCAGCGATTTTCCCGGCTCGAAATATCACTGGCAAGTCTGTATTTTGTTAGAGCATCATTCTGTTAGGTTATTTAGCTGAATTCTGACTGAATCTTTATTTACTAAAAATAACACTAACATAAACCTTGAATTTTTTATGCAGGCTACGGATATTATTTAAAGTAAATGTCAGTGTATTATAAGTTTTTGTATTTTAATGCAATAAAGTGTAAAACAACTTTTACCTTCCTACCATAATCTGAGGACGAATGTGTACTCTATGTGTTAGACGGGACATATTTTGGCCCACTAGTATCCATTTACCAAAATAAAAAAATAAAGCATGCCTCCAATCTATCAGAAGACATCTGTATAGTTGGCCTATAAGTGTGGTACACGTTTTTGTTCAATAAGAAAATAAATACGTTTATCCAGTGGCATCATACAGTTCAATCCCAGTACACTGCAGTCCTGTAGACGTCAAAATAATCCAATGGGGCAAGGTAAGTATACAAGCAAATATTTAACCCACCTATTACTGACGCATAAGGTAAAAGACCTACAAAAATTTGTTAATATTATATTTCAGCCAAAGTGTGCACACAAGGGCAGTGCCCTATCGCAATAACTTGATGTAAACTGTGACTCATTTATTTCATAAATCACTGAAAATGAAAACAACAAAAATCATTTGTTTTATAAGCCGCATTACCGTAAATATACTAGAATGGTAAGAATTTTATACAAAAATGAAGACTTGACTTGCTATGACACTGTAATACATTTCGTGTCTGACAGTTTTGACATAAACTTGGTTACTTTTACTCTAAGAAGAGCGCTATTATAGACAACAGAATAGTACGTTGCAGTGTATAATTCAAGTCTATAAGCAATTTAAAACAGTTTAAAACATAAGAAATCTTCCAGGACCTTTTACAACATGCTATAAAATACTGTACATTTTAACTTGTATGAACGTTAATCTTGATTCCAAATCAGAAATGCAAGTTTCTAAAAATCGTTTCGTTTGAGTTTATAATTTAAGTTTAAACACTGTTTTTAATTGATTTCATTTCAATATTCAGTATTCTAAATGCAAACAAAGTAAGTATTAAACTATTTATTATATAAATCTGTAACATTTTAAAGTAATACTGTACAAAATAACTCTGTACTTGCGCAAAGTACTTACCCTTTAAAAAAATCTGATAATATGTCACCGACTCACTCCTCGAACTGAGAGTTCTTACTGAACCGCCTGTCTCCTTTGGTAGATTAAAGTGGGAGGGGCATGGGCAGTTTACTTTCATCTTTCGCCAATACAGAAGAATATGACTTGTGACGTAAGAAATATTAGGTTTTTACTTTTCTCGTAAGCGTGTATATCCTGGATAAAATGTAACAATTGCATCCGATAAAATAATATACAAAATGTTGATTTAAAAACAAATTTGAACAGGATTTCATTCCATAAAATATTATGAAATGAGTCTAATGGACCGTGAATTTTAAGACTACGAAAAACATTGAGTGAAGGCAAATAGAATGCCAAAGCAGACACTGGGCCGAAGACAGCCCAAAAACAGCGAAATTACGTCCAAATTTGCAGAGCACGTGAAGATGAATAAAAAGTCCGAGAGCGAGATGAATTGCACTGTAAAAGCTATTCAACGTCAACTTCACTTACACTTCAGGCCCACTGACACTAAAATTGCTCAAGTAATATAAAGATACTATTGTTTTTTATTCATATTGAAAAGGCTATTCTCGGTCAAGAATTACTCAAGTACTGGAGAAATATAACCTTAAGGTTTCTGTGTTTATCGTCCTAAAATCGTTTAGACAAAGGCATTCGAAATAAGAAAACAGACCAGCATAAATCATGCCAAGAGCAATGCGTTACTGAAACTTTAATTACACACAGTAGGTGAGAACAGTTTACACTAGCGTATTAAAAATATTCCACAGGTTGATATAAAAAATAAACAAGGAAAAAGTTAGTAAAGGACGAGAGAAAGAAATAATGGTGGTTATTTCGGTTCAGAGTTTCAATTATTAAGACGTGCAAAACTTTAAATCACCAATTAAATAATAAATTATAAAGACGTGAGATACTTGTTTACTATTTATTTTTGATTGTGATTTCTTTTCCATTTTAACCTGTTAATATAAATGCCTCATCCAGCTTATATAATTATGTACTGGCACCCGTTCTATTCCAATACCGCCTAGATATGCTGTGTAACCTCAACGTTTTCAGCTCACCTCTTGGGTATCACACACATTTTATGTACCACACAGTCAGTGCAGTAAATACAAGGCATTATAAAATTGTGATTCTGTTATATGGTAATTTATAACCGAACAATTTTGGTATATTATTTTATGACTTATCATTAGAATTCTTTCATACATCATAATATATTTATTAGCTCATATATGGATACTACTTACATTCTACAAACCTTCCAAGATGTGAAAAATGTTTTTGTAATTTTATTATCTGTCATGAAAATATTAGATGGCATTATTCCATGGTGTAGGTTAGGGCAATTAATGGTGCTGCAAAGGCCTTGTGTCTAGATGGTGTTGACTAAAATTAAGCCTTGATAGCTAGAATGTCACACGTTTTATTGGGTTAGATTTGATGTTAATACTGTCCAAGCATCTGCCTGGTAAGACAATAAAATTCATTCAAGATGCTGGCCTCGGGAATTGAACCACAGAATGGTAATCACGCATAATAGTAAAAGGAGTATTTTATTTTTCTCTTCATATTTTAGACAGTTAATGTCATCAAATAAGAACAAATCAGGTAAAAACACGTACTGATGAAGTTATCTACAAAATTCAGCCTGTAAAATATAATCGGAGTATGGTCGGTACAATAGCCGCTCTAGTTGTAGCCTCCAGGGAACTTAAAACTACGTAACAAATATAGTTGCAAATAAATCTGTGATTTTTGAGTGGTGGGTGAGCCGAGTAAACAGTTTTCTAGCAACTCTCATTTTAAAAAAGCTCAAAATAACGTTACTTTTTAACCAGTCTTCAATGTGTGGTGCTACTAGCGGTGGCTGTAGTCTTCAATAAAAATGGCGAATTTGCACAACAAAGTTACTTTAGATAGGTTATTCAATTCACTTGTGCTCGACGCGGGATCCACCTTGACTTGCTTGTGATTTCTCCATGGTCATGTTCAATGCTACAATAAAAAATAACGTTGCCAGAATACATAACCTGCCCCGACCGCGCTAAACAAAACCAGACTGCGATCAATATAAACCGATACGAATTACTACACTCAACAAACAATTGTAAAACGTACCTTTCCAACCCAGCACACCGGTTGCAGAGGACAAACAAAGCCGTTCTGTTGTTTTTTATAAAGTGAAGCCTCTGTTTATTCTGGATTAGGTAAGGAAACGTAACGAGAGTTCAAGGCGGCTTCCTGCTGTGTAGCCATCATCACAAAATCAAATTACCGAACATTCATTTAGGATGAACCGTAAAAGCTGTATTCTTCCACACGTCAGCAACACATTTAGCACTGAGGATGCTATTTTAGTGTGCGACCTGACATACACGTGTGTAGTAGTACTGCAATTGTTTGATAGATGTCTCTATGTGTTTCGATACTGTGTGATAAAGATTTAGATTCTATGACAATATTTGATACCAGTCCATTTTTAATAAATTTTATTGGATCTCTCAGTTTCTACTAGTAGTACAGAGATTGACACTTCTATTGGACTGGGGATTGGGAAATTTGGATTTCACATATTCAAAACTGTACAATTCTTTCTTAAAAAATCTTTCAATCGGTTTCTGCCCCCGAAAATTTGTAGCGCATTCTAATTTACAAGATCTATAAAATTTATTTCAAAATTCATAAAAATATCAATTACTTTCTGCTCCCAAAAATTCCTATCACCGTCTAAATGAAAGATTAAGCGTTCTTTAAATGATATGGGAAACATATGAAATTCTATAAAAATTATATATCGAATTATCTATTACCTCTCTCAGTACCAGTTGCAGCAATTTATTTATTTATTTATTTATAAAAATTATTATAATTACGTGAAGGAAAAATTATGTTCTATCTGCTTAGAATTTAAAGCATTAGAC